TACCGCCGCTGCTGGAGGATGGGGGAGGCGGTTGTGTCCGCGACGCTGGTGGGCCTCTCGCTGGTCCTCGGGGCCGTAGTTTTGTGGGGGTTGCTGTTCTTTCTAACGCGGCGGACGAAGGCTGCGCCGGGCAAGGAGGACGTGGCGAAACTGAGCGGGACGCCTGACGGTAAGCGAGGTCGAAGCTCGGAAGCCGCGCCGCCAGCTTTCTGCTGGGCGGGGTTTGCGGCCACGTTTCCATCTTGCGCAAGAAGTGAGCCGCCGTGGCAGCTCCGATTTAAAAGTTGCCTTCTAAGGTGCTGCGCATTATTGTTTTCGTTATCATTGTTAGCACGGCCTTGTGACTAGAACAGTGTTTCTCAACCTTGACCATTTTAAGGCATGTGGACTTCAACTCCCAGAATTCCACAGCCAGCAATGCTGGCTGTGGAATTCTGGGAGTTGAAGTCCACATGCCTTAAAATGGTCAAGGTTGAGAAACACTGGACTAGAACTAGATTACAGAAGCATGTCTGACTAGCAGGGCATTGAGTCAGTCTAATACCTACTTGGAAGTAGTCGTCTGGGACTAGGAAACTTGGTTTCAAACCCTAAATCAGAGGTACATTCAGAGGTACGTTGGACCTATCATTTTAACTAGAAGGAATGCAGGAATTGGTCTCAGCAGAAAAGCGAAGGGGGCAAGTAATATTAAAAACACATCTGAAGTATTGCCTCGGATGTCAGGATTGGAATGTATAAGGATGCAGCTGGCTTCATGTCGTTGTGCCTGCGCCATCACATTGAGGAAATTCCAGTTTGCTTAGGTCTTGGAAAAGGAAGCTTCATCACACAGTCAAGCAAGCTGGTGTGTGGGCTTTTTGGACTTCCAAGCAGAGGTCTTCTCTAGACTTGTAGGGTGGGAATTAACTCTGGAATGTTGTTAATAGAAAACTCGTGTTCAGCAAAAAGTGTTTTTCAATCTAGTCAACTTTGAGATGAGTGGAATTCTAGTCTCAGTGGCCTTCATAATAAGTACTTAACTATGGTACGGAGGCTACGGTACGGAGATCTTGCCGTTGCTTTTCCCAATGTGCTAAGCTAGCAATAAACGTGTTTTTCCTTTTCTTTGGTGGCTTAATATGTTGTGCAAATCCAGCTTGTTTGGTTAAGTTATGGTTCAGTCAGCATATTGTGCAAATTTAGTCACCAGGTTATGATATAATGAGAATCCAGCCATTGAGTTTTGATAACAAAATGGGAGAAGAATGAATGCTGTGTGCCATTATGAGCTCATTGGAAGATAGCTAGAAAAAAATCTTAAATGACAAAGATTTATTCTCACATGCATTGCTGTGGTGGAATGTAGTCAGGAGTCACAGAAGGGAGGGGGGCTGCCTCCCAGAGGGTAAAGAGGCAGGGGAGCTTGGAATATTTGGTAGGCAGGAAGAGGGCTAAGATGGCTCCTTCCCAGAGTTCCGGTAGTCATCTTCTTACAACAGTTAATTTAGTGATCAAAGTTACAATGGCACTGAAAAAAATGACTTGTGTTGTTCACATGACCGGTGCAGCATCCCTATGGTCATATGATCAAAATATGGATGCTGCAAGCTACTTATTTTTTGTTGTGCTAAGCTGATAATTGAAAAAATGCTATTAGTGATTCAAACAACAGTTAAAACCAATTGGTTCTTGATTTAAGTTTTTCTTCAAATGTATTCCTCAGATCAAAATGTGAATGGTGATGCAGCCAGCAAATCAGCAGGCCTGAAAAAGTTGAAACAACAGCGAATTCGAAAAGAGAAGCCCCAACAGCATACTTTCACACACCCACTTCTGGCTTCAGCCCTCAAGGTGAGCTCTGGTGGGTAACATATTCTTACATACTGTTATTTCACCTTTTTTTTCTTGAGCTGATTATATATGTGTCTGCCACCTGGCCTTCTTTTATTCTCTGCTGTAATAGAGTTGACTAAAGTTGCAGTAATAATTGGAAGTTTAAACGTGAAGTTAGAAAAATAACTGAACACTTCTGTCATCTCTTATTTGTTTCCAAAATCTTATGAAATCAAAATTCGTAACTGTACTATTCAGTAGTAACAGTGAATATTTCTGGAAAAATTGACCAGGTTGCTTTCAAAAAGGATTGGATTCACATTGTATAGCTTTCATTTTCTAGAACCTGCCTTCTCTACACCCCGCACCATGGGGTGTGCTTTGAGTGTAATTACTTTATCTGCTTTTCATTTTGAAATCTTCAGCTACTGTGCAGAAATAAACAGTTTCATGATATGAAAAAGCAGAGTCCATCCTGCCCACAGCTTTACCATTGTATCTTACAAGCATTTTACTTTAGCTGAGAATATCTACTTGCCCAAGGAGATAAGTGGGAATCCAACTGTTTACTGGCTGATCCATAGCAATTCTCCTAGTTTTGTTAAAAGATAGATCACAGAAGAAAGCAAAGAGTTTTGAGATTAAAACAGTCTACGTTTTCTTTTCCAATTTCATTAAGTATATCTTGACTCCAAAACAATTTACCCTGATCACTATTTCACAGTTGAATTAGCTTATTCTGAGGTTGGAAAGTTTGTGATAAAATTGGAAAAAATGTTTAAAGGTCATGAGGTTTCTGCTTCCTTGACTGGATATTTATACTCTTCTTTCTTATATCCACAATTTTCAAATAAATCCTTTTTTTAGAATTCTAAACTGCTTTTTTGCTTCTTAGATAACAGATCTCCAGTATAAAAGACACCTGGATTTATTCAGAGGCTAAAAGCTAATTTTCTTTGTATTCTGCAGGGCCACAGTGGAAATGTCACCTGCCTGGACTTCAGCAGTAATGGGAAATATTTGGCATCTTGTTCTGATGACCGTACAGTGCGTATCTGGAGTACCAAAGACATTTTGGAGAGGGAGCATCGCTGCATGCGGGTTAATGTGGAACTGGACCATGCTACCCTGGTCCGCTTCTTCCCGGACTCCAGGTAGGATGGGGGTTTGAATAATATCCTTTGCATTACCTGCTTACCTGTAACCTACCCTAATCCTAAAGGAAAATGGGCAGCGTGTACAATCAAAACAAGAAGAATATAATAAAAACTAAACTGAAAAAGGGTTTTAGAAAACTTTGTAGGAAGAGCATTGCA